GGGAAAGGAGGCAGCAACGATCCCAGCTCCAGCGCCGCGTGGACTTGCTCCTCTACAGCAGAGCCGGGCACTGTTTCGGAGCTGTCTACACCGTCCCCTATGGTGGATCAGCTACAAAACCCCAGTGGGGGGAGAACCTCAGGGTTGCCGTCATTTCGGGCTGGGGAGGGAGATGGGCATGGACCGCCGACCTCCCGCAGCCCGTCCTCCTTCAGCGGGCGCAGTGGTGGCGTGGCCCGGAGCTCCTCGGGGTATGGCAGTGACCCGGCACGCTGGCCGGCGAAGGGCACTGGAGCTGGTGGGACTGCGGCATCTCCCTCTGAAGGTGGCCACAGGCTCACTGCGGAGGGTCTGGCTTGGAGGGGGAGCTCGGGGACAGCCGGAGGAATGGTCAGTGTCTGCGTGTACCCTCGCCCCCTTTTTGGAGCGGGGTGGGGGGACCTGGTTCAGTGGACCCCAGATCCTGGTGGCCCCTGGGGATGGTCATCTTGGTGAGGTGCAACTTCGTGCTGAGCGTGGGTGGGAGGACTCTGGTGTAGAAAGCTCCTGAAGCCTTTTCCCCTCTGAGCATCTCCACCAGGAAGAGCATCCCCCGGGGACTGACCCGTCCTGTCCTCTGCTCCTGGCACGGGCAGCCAGAGAGCGGCTCTCGCCGGAGCCGGTGGGTGCGGCCGGTGGTCACACGGGCTCTCTGCGCCGTTGCATTTGCTGTCAGCAGCGTGCTTGCTGTCGCTGGTGGCACACGTGCCTTTGGGGCTGCTGGGTCTGGGGTGAGTTTGGGGTGTCCCCTTCCTGCTGCCAGTGCTCAGCTCCCAGGCGGGCAGCAGTGAGTGAATGTGGAGGCGTGGGGGCTCTGCCTGCTCCGAGGGGACTCTGAGAGGAAGAGGAGGGGACGGTGCTGTGTTTTGGAGCCTCTTGTTGCTGTTTGGAGGTTGCTCTTTGAGGGTGACAGGACGGGCTGAAGGCACCCTTGCGTTTGGCCAAGCTCTGCGCACCTCAGGACGAGCACGTGGTTGGAGTGGCAGGAAAGGGGCTGTGGCCCCCGCTACCTTTGCAGGGTTGGGACCAGTGTCACAGCCACCATCTGGCCTTCAGCGTCCTACCACCGGTTGCTTGATGTGCGAGGCTGGTGTTGGAAGGGTTTGAAAGGGGCTGGCCCTGGGTCCCGCGAGTTTCCGCTCTCTCTTCTTGCTGGTGCCTCCCTAAATCTTTGTCCTGACACAGACATGTGAAGAAAGGAGGGTGGAGCTGGTGCCGCATCCTGCACCTCTGTAAGCGCATCTCTAGGGGGGTCTCCTGCAAGGATGCCCTCGGGGAAAGGCCCAGCGGTTGGAGAACCCCAGTGCTGTGTGAATGATTAAAAATAAAGGATTTATTTAAGCTGGGTGCTGTGAGGAGCTTTCCCGATGGGCGGTGGCACTGGAGAGCCCAGGTGGGGCACAGCTGATGGGTGGGTTCATGGAAGGCTTCATTCTGCTCTTAAATTAAGTGCTGCCAGTTAATAAGGGGGTGTCGGGCAGGTCGAGGTTTGTGGGTCCTTCCCTGCTCCCTGCAGGCATCGAGGGTCTCATCCTGCTGCTCGCCCAGCGCATCACCCTATCCATCCCGGCTGGGTGCCGGGTCCTGACATCCCTAAGGAAACCCAGCCCCGGGGCTGGAGGAGTTAAAGGCAGTGCCGCCGGCGGTGTGGCGGTGGCTGACAAAGAGCAGTTTTGTGTGTGATGAGCGTATCAGGCTCCGGAGCGGGAGGTGAGCTGCAGCATACCAATTACACCGTCGCTCGCTGTGCCTCGGCAGCATCCTCCCCGCCGGTGGGAGAGGGGGCTAATCCTGCAGGGCACTGCCTCCTGCCTGCAAAGGGGTGTCTGGGAGCTTTTTGCAATGCCAGCACCCAACTGGGCGTCTTTTTGGGGGGGAAATAAAGCAACTGGGCGTTTTCAGGATGGAGGGGCAGTGTGTAGGGCTGGGTCCTGGCACACCTTCTCCTTGCAGTGCCGGGAGGAGGAATCCAGCAAGCGAACGGCCCGCCGTTGCCTTTCCACAGGCGCCCTGGAAAATACGAGCAGCTCGCATTCTCCCCTTTGTCTGCCCCTTAATTAAGGGGAGGTAATTGTACTAATTGGGGAGCTGGGGGTGGGGATGGGCGAGGAAGAAGCCGTGCCAATCAGCAATATGCTGGCATGCGGAGACACGTGCGTTTTGTCACGTGCAAGTCTGGGATTCGCAGCCAGTCCTGTGCGTCTGTCTAAGAGGAGTCTGTGACTGTCGGCCTCTTTTGTTGGGGAAGTGGGTCACGGCACCCCTGCCACCAGCACCCCCTGGCACCTGCCTCTCCAGGCACAGCAAGGCAGAGGGGGGATGCGACAGCCTTCTCCCCATCCTTCCTTTCCCCCCCAGGATGGAGCAGGTGGCCCTGCTCCAAGCAGCTCTGCTGGCTGGAGGTCGGGGAGAGACCTCTGCCCCACACGTCCTTTCAAACAGCACCTCCGAGCGCTGTTTCTCACTTCTTAAGTTGGTATTTTTCTTACAACATGATGCTCTAGGTGGAGCATCCACCACCATGCTGGCAGCCCGAGCAAGGGATGGCATCAGTGGTCCCCTTTTGGGTGTTCCCTCACCACCCAGCCATGGGTGCTGCTGGATGGGACTGACTGTTCCTGCATGATCCCTGGGTGTCCGAGGGTGCTGGGGCTCCTCGCGGTGGGTGCTGGGCAGGAGCAGGTTTGAGCAGGAGGGCGCACAAGCATTGCTGTTGGCACAGTGTGTTTGGGTTTGGAAGGGACCCGCCTGGGCCCCCGTCTTGCCCAGGCGTTGTGCTCCCAGTGAGGTGTCCCCTGAGCTCTGGCTGGGGGGGACGGTGCCGGTGTAATGCACCGGGCCTTGTCACCGGCAGCGCGGCGCTGCTCTCCGGTGTGCGCAGGGCACGTGTGGCAGGGGGCGCTGCCCAGAGGGGGAG